AGGTCATCCACTATTGCAGTGAAGGCTTTCAGACACGTTGACCCGCAGACACCTGGACACATTCTACTCGAGAACACACACAGACGTGCGTCCAGGCCGTCGCAGCTGTCCAAGTGCCATTCGAATAAATCCCCGCCCCCCAACACTCTGAAGCTACAGCCTCCGCCACCTGACAAGAAACACCTCGTGGGTAATGCCACACGCAAAAATAGCAGAACTCTTGAACCCGCTCCGCAAGTCTACTAAAACAGCTGCCGCCACTGTCTCATGCATGCTGGGGCACTAGTAGACGCACTGAGTACTAGCGCTGGTTTCACCAGTGGCCACTGCTGGGGTTCTGTGCACAATGAATTCCTCCCATTGCTGTCCTCTACGTTTTACCTACAACCTAGTGCTCTGAGTACATCCATTATTTAGACTCCTACAAACTTCATATTTAAGGAGAAGTTATGACAGTTTATTTAAGTTCATCAGTCGGCAACTGCGCTGGTTGCCAGGTCTGGGTATAATCACCAGTTGCTTACCCTCCAAGCCACGGCTTTTAGCGCACCGTAAGTCTCTAGCTCGAATCACACATGCACCACATTTCTCTGCCTATTCTTAGCTTGCCTACTCTGATTTTTCCATCCATTGTCCACTTATGTGCAGTCTCATAGAGTTGAGATAACTGGCAATTACGCAGGTAACTCTAACTGAAATTTCATGGTCTTGTCCTTTTCCATTCATTCATTGACAGCTCCTACTGACGTTCGATCCGCCAGTTGTCGAACGCGTCGCCTCCCTGCTGCTCCACGTAATTGATCAGAACCCCTGTTTACCGCGAATCTACCTGACAGGTGTCTTCTACTTCATCCTCATGTACACCGGCAGCAATGTGCTGCCGATTGCTAAATTCCTGAAGGCCACACATCTGCTTCAGGCCTGCCTGACTGAGGAGGCAAGTTCCTTTTTTTCCTTTGCATAACTGCCCACTTATTTCGTAGTATCAGTATCAGTTTATCGAGGGAAAGATTGGCGAACGCCTCTGAACTCCCTGTTGGTAACAAGATGATAGGGAATAAATGGATACAAAGAAAATTTTAAAAATGACGTCAATTACCTGCTCCGGGAAGACACTAGCGTCAAATCGTAACAAAATATGACAGACAAATATGACTACTCGCAAATCACGAGTAGTGTAATCTGATGCAGTGTATGTGATGAAGTATACCCGATGCAGCGTAATGTGGTACGGGATAATGTGATGTAGTAGTTTTTTACATGGTTTGTATTTCTGTTTGATGCATGTCCAGTCTTCTCTTAAATGAATTAACACAAGTAGAGAGGAGAACCTCTTCAGGAAGGGTGTTCCACGCTGAAACTACTCTGTTGATAAAGAAGAAC